TTACTATTAAGATCTCGGTATTTATCCATATTGATACAAGTAGATCTAGGTCGTTCATTCGTACCGCTGCATAATAATTTCATTGTGTAAATATACCACCATGTACTTATTCCTTGGTGACCATCAGGGGGTTGTTTTCACAAACAATGCTTTGATGAGCATTCTTGTATCCATCTCCTTGTATAGCCCAGGAGATGCACAATTACACGTGGAACTGCTAGGTCACATCTTGGATGTTGATGGATGATCTCCAAAGTGGCCATACCAACTTACACTACCCCCAACAAGGCAAAAGAACTCTTTACATTTCCACAGGCATTGGCATTGCCAGACTTCTGAATGGGTATGTACTTGACCCCTACTTTACACATTCTCCCCAGTATTATCATTCTCTTTTATAGATTAGAAAACTGAGATTAAGAGTGGAGTGCTCAGAGAATGAGTGAATGAATGAGTGAATGAATGCATATGGTGATATTTTGTTTATTTCTCTCCCCCAGAACTTAAGTTCCATGAGTTGTGAGTACCTATTCCTAGGTCCTGGCATAAGATAGATGCTCAGTAGTTATTTGTTGTTGAATGAATGAATGAATGGAGGATGCTGGTCAGAGAACAGCCGCTTTCTTCAGGAGCCTCTCCTTGGCTTTCTGAGATGGACGCTGCACTCTTCACTTACCCTGCAGGATTTTAGAAGGAGGGGCTCTAGCAAGCTCTGCCACTGGAGTGGTAAGCCTGCAGCCGGCTGACGCTGAGCTAACGCTGGAGGAAGGGTGAAAGCTAAGATTTTCTCAATGGAAAATTGAATCTGCTCAGCAGGAGTCTGATGAGAAGCGGGGGCCGGGGAAGGAGGATGCAGCTGGAAGGAGTGTCCATCTGGATCCCACAGGCCTCTGGGTGTTGAGAGGTTATTCTTAGCCATCTTTTCTTCAGTTTTTATTTTCTCTTAATCAGGGCTCTCTTGATTTTGCAACTGGAGCCTTTTTTCCCCCCTTCTGTAAAGCAATGATTTTCCATATAGTAATTCTTTCCTTCTTTAGACTTCCCGGAGGGGGTGGGTGGTTCTTTTTGTGCTCAGACACTTTGCACATTGCCTCCCACCCGGCACCTCCCGTGCTTTTGTGACTGGTGGAGACCCATTCTGTGAGCTGAGTATGTGACCCCATCTCCTTGTTTGTTTCCAGAGAACTTAACCATAGCATTCTCCTTGCTAATTATTTTTTCCCCAGTAACATCAATCTGAGTACATTTCCCACCCTTCTTCCCTGTGCCTCACGTGTCCTGAATTCTGCTGGCTTAATTTAACTTGAGCCTTAAGAGGCAGCAAAACCGAGGGCAGGTGGCCTAGCTCCAGTCTTTGGTTTCTGCGTCATAATCATAATCACTCACATTGACATGGTGCTCCATGGTTGACAAAGCACTTTCACGCTTAGTAGCTCTTTAGACTTCAGAATGATAGAAGCCAAGACCCCCACCCCAGGGGGATAGGGGGTCTGGTGACATTTCCAGCATCAGGTGTCTAAGAAGAAAGGCCTGGGTTTCAACTTGCTTCTCTGATGCTAAATCCCCTCATACCTTTTCGTGCAGCTCTTGCAGGGGTTACAAAGTCAGATGCCCTTGGGGCCCGCTATTTAATCAAATGAAAGAAACTGGCTGGGGTAGTGAGGGTGGCGGGGAGTTGGAGAACTTGCTTTGCCTAAAGGGGTTGATCGAAACGCAGCACATTTAAAAAGTAGTTAAAAAAAAAAACCATTTATTTTATCACCTACTCAGTGCCCAGTGTAGTCTATCTCTTGCTGGTGAAAAAGGGAGAGCATAGGGACCACGTCACCTTTACCACGGAGTATCATGGCCTGGTGGCATGAGTAAGCACACATTGGCTTCAGTCGGTCTCCAGGGTCGATGAGGCAGTAGGGCTTGTTAGAGGTTCAGTGATTCCCTTGCTCGTAGGGTAGTGTTACTTACTGAAGGATGTATGGATCTTGCGTCGACCCATCATCTTGCATCCCTTAGCGTTTTCAAGGAATGAGATTCAGAGTAATATTATATTAATGGTTGTGCAAGTCCCTGATGCCCTAACCTGCAGCCCTTATCAGAGGCTCTACTGCTTCATCCCCACCTCTTTCTACCCTCTCTCATCCCTTTTTGAAAAATTTTTTTTTAATGTTTTATTTATTTCTAGGAGAGAGAGAGAGACAGCGTGAGCAGGGGAGGGTCAGAGAGAGAGGGAGTCACAGACTGAAACAGGCTCCAGGCTCTGAGCTGGCAGTCAGCACAGAGCCCGACGCGGGGCTCGAACCCACGAACCGCGAGATCATGACCTAAGCGAAAGTCGGACGCTTAACCGACTAAGCCACCCAGGCGCCCCTCTCATCCCTTTTTGAAATCATGGGACTTGGTTGCTCAGGTCTATATTCTGAGAGAAAGAGTGACAGAGACAGGGAGGTAGTCAGGGCCTTAAAGGAACCCAAGTTCACGTTCTCATCCAGTGCATGCAGCCCAAAGAGAGGAAGAGGACAGCCCTCTGCATTTAAGTAAAAACGCCTGCCCGTTAGTAAAACGTGGCTCAGTGAATGTCACGGGCTTTGGCCAATCAGATAAAAACTCCCCTTTGGGGGGGGTGGTAGGGAGGGCATGGGCTGAGGTGGGGCTAGCATGGGAACGGGACTCAAGTATGTCCCCTACTCTGAGTAGAACAGGTTAAGATTGTGACCCTGAAGAGCACAGCTCTCCTACCTACTAGCTCTGTGACCTTGGACAAGTGATTCCACCTCTTTCCTCATCATCTTCATCTGTAAAACGTGGGGGAAGTGCGGTAGTGACGTGGATCAACTGAGATACAGCATGCGTGTTGTTCAGTAAATGTTAGTTATTTTTGTTTTGGGTTCTGCCTTCTAGCTATACTCATCTTTGTGTTAGTTAAACCCCGAGGAAGCCTTCAAATACTGCCAGAAGGACTATGGACAGAATAATTCATAGAACAAGAAACTGTAATATTCTGCCAATATTTTCCTCTTCAGAACTTGCCACTTGTCCAAATGCCCTGATTTTACCTTTTTTATTCCTCCAGTTCCATACCCTCAGATGGTTCCAGTGAGTCAGAATCCTGGACAAGCTAGCTGGGATTCTGTGGGCTAAGATTTGGCTCTGAAATGTGCTTTTTGTGAGGTGTAACTGTATTTTTGTCTAAATACTCCAATGTTAACTGTCGTTCGGTTGAAACTTTTGCTAAGTAGTTGTTTTCCCATCTGCCTTTTTGTGGGACAGAAAATTTAAGAAGGCAGATTGTTTTATTCAAACACAGCATTGCTTTACTTACCCAAACAATAGTGAACGGAACCCCCCCCCCCAATCAATCTTTAGATTTGTTTTCTTTGGTGTGCCTCACTCATACCAATGAAAAGCAGTTCATAGTAAATATCGCCTAGGCACAGGATTAGGTTCTTATTAATGTGAAGAATTAGGTTCTTCATCAAAGGCAAAAGTAGAATTGAGAGGCTATATGAAATGCTTACAGACTCTGATTCATTCTTAGTTTTAGCCACATGTTTCTGTTGAGACCAGTTGACAGAGTGGGGTCTGGCGGGTCTCTGCAACTGGTCACTTGGATCATCCCCAAAGCAGATGACTGCATGCAGGTTCGCTGAGAATGGACTGTAATCACGGCAGAGGCCAGCCACTCAGACGGATGCTGGGGCCTTTGGCCGCTGCCCGGAGCCACCAGCCAACCAGGAGATGAAGCTGGCTGGCAAAGCCGGTGGATGTGTTGGAAAGGCCCGTGTCATCTCCAAACACAGCGTCTGGGAAAGGCCCATGTCCCCAGAAAGAGGTCACTGAAACCCTTCAGCTGGTGGTGCAGCCCAGAGTCAAGCAAACCAGGTTTTGAATCCTGACTATGCCATTTACAAGAGCTGTATGACCTGGGTCAAGCTCTCTGGCCGAGTGTCATTTTTTCCCGTAGAAGGGGGCAGCAACAGATCTACTTTGCAGAGTGTAGTGGGATTGAGGCACTGCAGAGGCCTAACAGTACCTACTGCGGGTAGGTACTCAAGAGGTACTCAGTAAATGGTAGTAGTAGTAGTTGTTTATTATTATTATTATTATTATTATTATTATTATTATTAACCCTGTGGCCTTTATTCACAGGAGTCTCTGGGGTGGGGATGGGGGAACGGCCCCCCAGTGTCTGGCTCAGGGCTCCTCTCCATGGCCGGGAGGCATGGGCTCCATGCCCAGGCCCAGCAGTGCCAAGGAGCCTGGTACAGAGATGCTGCTGATCGGGGCGCTGATTAAATTCCCTGATAGAGGAGCCTCAGCATCCGGGCCGACAGCACGGCCAGCAGCATTTAGCACAGTCTGCTTGGACCCCTAATTAAGTTATTTTTCCGAACTGCCCTTTTCAAGGTCTCGTCCCTTTTCGTCACCTCTATCTGGTCCCTTCTCTGTGGGTCCCTGCCAGAGAAGGGAAATAAAGCGGCGTGGGGCTTTCCTCCCTCCGTCCGCCAGGGAGAGGGTGACAGGACGCAGGAAGGGGCAGTTTTCAGCGCAGAAGATGAGGCTGACACAACCGCTGGCCACTCAAGGTGGCTGCAGCCCCATCCCCGAGGTAAAGTCTCCGTGCGCCCCCGGCCCATCCCTGTTTTCCTTCAAAGCTGGGTTCCCAGCTCAAACCTGCCTCCTCCATCCTGTATCCCGACAGCTCGCCACCGTGCGAAGCGCGGTCAAGTGGCACTTAGTGTATTTTTCCATCTTCGTGGGTCCGCCTAGTAAAAAGAAAAGAAAAAAGAAAGCAGCCCGGGATGGAACTGTTGTTATTTTTCAAAAAGGGAGAAGGGAGTCACATGACTGCGAGTAACCGGCTCGGCGAAGCGGCTGCAAGTCGGAGTTTGCTGCAGAGCCGCCCCCTCCCGGCGGGGGCGCTGACGTCACGGAAAAGCCCCGGCGCGGACCGGCCTGCGCGCTATAAACGGCGGGGCCGCGGCGGCTGCGGGCGGCGGCACGGACGGCGAGCACGGCGCCAGCACCCCGCGCTCGGCGTCCCGGGATCGCAGCGCGCACCCACGCACCCCACGCGGACCCGCGGGCGCCCACGCGGCGGAGCCGAGTAAGTGGGCGGTTTGGGGCGCGGGTCCTCCGGAGGCCGGGCGGGGCGGGGCGCGGGCGGACACAAAGTGGGCGTTCCCAGCCCGCAGAACTTTCTAACTTGGGAAAAGAGCCCCTGGACCTTGCGGTCTGCGCTGCGGTCTTCTGGTCGGGGGCAGAGTTGAAGGTGCTGAGGATGCTCTTTGTCCTTAGCAGGTTCCTTAGTTCGGTTCCGTAGGAGCGTCACCTCCTCCTACAGACTGTGTAGTTAGAGGGCAGCCCTGACTGATAACGTCATGCTTTGTTGTTTGAATGCAAGTCAGCCAACTGAGGCATTGCTTTTAAGATCGAAAAGCCGGCGGGTCCTCCCCGTTAGTGGCCGGCTTGTCGGGGTGTGAGTGTGGGAAGGGGAGTGTGCATTTCCCACTCTCACGAATGCGAGATTAAATGAGAAAGCAACAGTCTTGCTGATTAAAATGAGACGGCTTCTACTTTATCTCAAGAAGCCTTTCGGGAACAGACCTCCGTGCAAGGGGAGGGAGTCTTGCAGAGGGAAAGTTGTAGCAAAGTTGTTGAATGTCATTTGGGAGAGTCTTCGGCCTTCTGCTTTTCCTCAAGAAGGTGGAAATCCGTGTTGAATTTTAAAACTCTTGGAGTGGATGTGGTTTCAGAAGAGTGAAGCATTTTTTTCCGCAGCTGTGATAGGTCTGAACGTGAGTAGGTCCTTTCCCTCCGAGAACAACAGGGCTTGGGACTAGGATATTTTAAGCATGATGGCAAGAGGGCAGAGCTGAGGCATAAACCTCAACAGAAATTCTTTTTTTTTTTTTTTTTTTTTTTGCCCCCAAATAATAGCTTATTCAGGCAGCTGGAGAGCATCAGGGTGACTTTACTAAACATGGAAGTTCCAATAAGTGCTTGTCCAGTCCAGCCAGAGGGAGTGATGTCATTGCCACGTGTTTCCCACCCAGGCACAAAAGCCCGCTGGACGCTGGTGCAATTAAGAGCCATGTTTAGACAAGAGCAGCTAACCTGGCCAGCTGGTCCCCAGCTCCATTAACTTGTTGCTTTTCAAGCCATCTCTGAAGGCTGTTCGTTTCTTCTGGCTGCCCCTGGGTCAGTGCTGAGTGGGAGATCCAGGGCTTCCCTGAGGATGGAGGAAGCCCTAGGGCAATGGGTGACGTTGATGGTACTTTTCTTCTTTTTGCAAATGACGGTCCACCTGAGGAGCTGGTTACTAAGTGTATGTGTGTGTGTGTGTGTGTGTGTGTGTGTGTATGTGTCCAGTTGAAAGCCTTTTGGGTTTGGGGACTTTTTCCTTGGGATTCCTCATGTCAGGGTTACTTGGTATCACCCCATCTGATCAGATATCACTGATGGCCGACTGTATGGTTGAGCCCCCTGAGCTCTTGCGCCTCCTTACGAATGCTTACATCTTGGCTGCTTTGCTCTTCAGGACCCAGCGATGACTCTGAACAATGTCACCATGCGCCAGGGCACTGTGGCCATGCAGCCGCAGCAGCAGCGCTGGAGCATCCCAGCGGACGGCAGGCATCTGATGGTTCAGAAGGAGCCCCACCAGTACGGCCAGCGCAGCCGTCACTCCGCCGCCCTGGAGGACCACTGCCGCCGGAGCTGGTCTTCCGACTCCACAGACTCCGTCATCTCCTCCGAGTCGGGGAACACCTACTACCGGGTGGTGCTCATAGGGGAGCAGGGGGTGGGCAAGTCCACTCTGGCCAACATCTTTGCAGGTGTGCATGACAGCATGGACAGCGACTGCGAGGTGCTGGGAGGTAGGTGGCCCCGGCCCCGGTGGGCTTCCGTCCATTAGCGGTGGTCCAGTCTGAAACAGCGAGTGGGTGGGCCATTTATCCGCAGAGTTGGTAGTGGTGATTATGCATTCCTGGCACTGGCTGGGGGAAGCTGCGTCCCCGAACAGAGCTGACACAGGTCCTTAGGACAGGAGGATGAAGAGCCATCCTGTTCCATATGGAACCTGGGCCAGAAGGGGGTTTTCTTAGATTCCAGCTCCACAGGGCCAGGGGGTAGAGCGGTTAAAGAGGGCAGAGTCAGAGGGTCAGGATCCCACCTCTGGTGTTTGCCAACACTGACCTGGATTTTTCAAGAGCTCAGTGTAGATATAGCTTTTTCCCACAGTTGTACCTAATACCAAACCAATTTGAAAAAGTATTAGGATAGAGTCATCAGTTTCCACCATTATTAGAGTCTTTCGAGGGTGTAAAATAGTTTAAAATCTTTATTTGAAATAGTACAATGTTAAAAATTTTTTTTAATTATAACAATGGTGATACCTATGCTTATATAGAGTCTTACAGGTTTTCAAGATGATTTTGCATGTACAATCTCATTGAAAATATTTAAGACCTGCCTATTTCCAAAATTGACTTGAGGTGACATAGCCGCAAAAACGCACGTGTTCCTCAAATACATGTAAAGCGTAGCACTGCATTCTGGGAAGTAATAGGAGGGTCCTCACCTTCTGGGGTATTCATACGATGTCTTTCAGCCCCAGCTTCCGCCTTAGCATACACGACAAGGGCGCTATGTGTCCTCATTTGCAGCTATAGAAATGAAGGAAGAACCTTCCAGTGCTTGCCCAAGTGGCATGATCTATCTGTGCTCTCAGCTGCAACTCACAGCTGAATCACAGACCCCCAGGGTAGGAAGATGCCTTGGTGAGGAGTCAGTTCTGCCGTGTACTTGGCGCACAGGAATGCTGCTCCTTCGTCACTACTGCTGTCAGCCCGTTTCGGCTAAACGTTTCATCCTGATCATCTCCAGTGTCCGGGAGTTCACTGCTTACGAGGCAGCTCCTGACCTGGACTATAAATGATGACTCATTGGTAGGACATTGATTTCTCTCCTCACTTTTGAAAGTCTCAGGGACTAGAGCTAAACGAGAGTCAAAGAGAGATAGTGACCTCAGTATTGGAAGGCTGATTTTCTCTTTCTCAGTAAAGGCTGGTGGTTGACTGTCGGTATAGGAGGAGGGGAGGGAGGAACTACTATCTAAAGCACATTTGCCATGGGAAAGGCACTTTATTGGGCATCTTCTACTTGATCCTGTTTATTTTGGTACTCACAAAATTCCTGTACTCATAGGAGTAAACTGAGTCTCAAGGATACCAAGTGGCTTACCTCGAATCAGTGGGGCAGCTGGAATAACTCAGGATTTTATAATCTTAGTTTGGTGTTACTCTTAGACTGCCACTGACAGGGAACCTGCTATGTGCCAGATACTATGCGAAGTACTTCTCATGAGTTTTTTCAGCGAATGCAAAAACTGAACCAATTTGGAATTAATATTCCTATTTTACAGGTGAAGAAATGGAAGCTTATCACACAAGTAACTTTCCTGGGGTGATAAAGCTAGTGCACGGTATGGCCAGGGGTCAGACCTAGTTGTGTGCATTCATTGTACCCTGCAGCCCGTGAGCTGAGTGTCTCAATGCTACCAGTGTCAGGCACACGCCTGGCTCTGGGCTAGGCTCTGGGGTACCCAGTGATAGTATACCCTCTCAGGAAGGGGTGAAGTGTCAGTGGCTATAATTCAGAGCAGGGTAAAATTAGTGAATATCTTAAGAAGTAACAGTAAAGTGTTTGGGGAGATTGACATAAGGAAGAGATCAGCCATGAGTTTTGTTTTGTTTTTGAGGGAGGTCTTGAAAGAAGTGGGTAGCCGACTTTCCAAAATGTTTGTCAGTTAGAGTGGAGCGGTACTTACCCAGAGGGGGCTAGCCCCAGGGGCGTACAGTGTCGAGAAGACCAACTCATATCTGGAATTTGAGAAGACAGTCTTCTATATTTGGGAAAACTCTTTTTGTTTAATGAGGGGAGGGAGAGGGAGAATCCTTATCTCCTTGAACAGGATCTTTGGCAAGAAACTCCTCAGGTGACCCATCCTATTTAATGTGTCCTGTTTGAGTAACTTAATTTATGGTGTCTAGGATTACATCCCTTATCTGTAGGCAGCTGTTGGAATCACTACTGGTTTTATGGTTCTAAAGAAGAAGTTTTTCCAAGTCATGCCCTCACATTGTTCTGTTTTCAGCATTAACCATAAAAAACCTCTACACAATACTCTCGTCAGTATTTCTCCTAATAAAGATGGATGTTGTTACAGCTCTATTGCAATAATCTTATGACTCTCTGTACACATGGAACGCCATTCATTCATTTATTCATCCATTCACTCATGCATGCATTCATTCCTAAGTAGTTACTGAACATACACCATGGAACTTGGCGAAACACCACGGGGGCATGCAAAGGTCCTAGGTTCCCCCCTGAAGATGCTTCCAGTATGTGCAATAGAGATCAGTTCTGCACCACCTGTAAATCACGATAGGATGTGATGAGTGGCTTGAAAGCGGTACAGGGGCAGTGCTGTGGGAATAGAGAGGAGAAAATATTTCTTCTGGCCGTGGAAGTTAGTAAAGGATTCATAGAAGAGGTGGTCTCTGAGCTGGGTCCTAAGGACATCTAGGATCTGGAAGCCCTGGGGTCGGTGAGGAAGTACTGCACATGCACACAGGAAGTATGGGAAGAGCACTGGACTTCAGTCTGTTGGTGTGGGTCTGGAACCCAGCTTTGACACTGATGTAGCTGAGTGCTCCTGCACGAGGTACCGACCCTCCTCAAACTTCCTTATTAGGAAGGGACATAGAGACAATGCCTTCCTCATAGGGCACTGGCGGATTAAAAGAGGGAACATACATTAAGCATGTAGCATAGTGCCTGGCATGTGAGACGTACAGAATGAGTGTGTGTTAGAGCTGATTCTCAATCTACCATGTCCTGTGCCTGGATTTATCTTCTCAAACTGGCTCTTTTGTTGGTTGTAGTCCCCATCCACTCCAGCCACCCTTGGCTAGGGCACTGTGAGACGTGCAGAGGAGACGTGCCACAAGACAGAAGGACGCTGCTCCTAGAGTAGGCGTCCCTTCTGGGTTCCTTGGCTTCTCCGGGATGGCTTCCTGTGGAAGCTGAAAGCAGTTGAGAGTTTGGGGGGAGGGATGTTGGAGCCCCAGAGCCTCTGAGAGGCTGCAGGCGCCCATCCTAGTGAGGGAGAGAACTGTGTAGCTTCCACACAGCACGTGGGCCAGTATTGGACAGGAGGGTCCTCCAAGCACAGTGAGGGTCAAGTGAAAGACACATTAAGGTGTATTAGTCCAGGGAGAATAGCTCCTGTCACCGACTGTAGAATTCCATCCCACCCCTCAGGATCTCTCTTGTTCTAGAGTGTGCGCGTACACTCCCAGCTTTTACTGAGAGCACTGGAGAAGTGGGGGCTTCTCCAGACCCATGATGCTGAACAGCTCGATAAGCCAGTAGGCCTTGACCCATTCTCTACACACCTTAATCCAGGGCAGATTTCAAAGGACTCTTCTAGAATTTCATGTTCTTTTATTTCCCCTCTCCTTACCCGATTAGCCCTTGAGAAGGCTAAAAGGTGAGTGACAAAGGGGAGGAAGAGAAATTGGAACTTTGGTTGCAGGCCGGCCCTCCCCTGGTTAGCAGAGGGCTGTGAAGCAGGATATTTTGTGTGTCTGAAGAATCCTTGGGGAGTGGGACCAATAGCCAGAGGCCGTATATAAATCTGGGTGTGGGGGTGCCTGGGTGGCTTAGTTGGTTAAGCGCCCTACTCATGATTTTGCCTCAAGTCAGGATCTCAGGGTCATGAGATTGAGCCCTGCATTAGGCTCCTACCTGGGTATGGAGCCTACTTAAGATTCTCTCTCTCTCTGTTTCTCTCTCTGTCTCTCTCCTCCTACTCCCCACTCGTGTGTGTGTGTGTGTGTGTGTGTGTGTGTGTGTGTGTGTGTGTGTCTGTCTGTCTTCCCGGCCCCCTCAAATAAAAATAAACCTAGGTGTGGGGCATATGCAGAGAAGCAGGATGGAGATACACTGTTTTAGGGTTTGCAACATACTGATTTTCAGGCAGGGCTAAGTCCAGGAATCTTCCAGAACACCAAAGCAGTTAGCCATCTACTTTTTCAGGTACTATCCACATTTTCTCTAGACTAATGTTCAGATATCTCTTAAACCAAGGAGAAGTGTGAGTTTGTTTTCTCCCCTCTACCTATTGGAACCTGTTATGTTTCTATTTGAACTGCTGGGGACTCAAGTGAGTCCCTTGTACCTGCTTCTGGATGATGAGTGGTGGGCTGAGGCCAGAGAAAGTGCTGTTTTGGATTTTTGGAGCACAGGGAAGGCTTTTAAAGAAAAGAAAGGGGCAGTCAGCTGGCCCCCCTTCTGTGCTGCTCGGGCTCTGATCATTTCCGTTTGGTTGTAAAATGTGCCTGTTGAGTCAGGAGGCCCTACTCTGCAGTAAGCCAGATTGTGCTTCCCACTGTGATCCCATTCCTGCTGCGTGTTGCGGATGGCTGACCGGATGGGGATAACAGACTTAATCCCCCAGCGGGGCACCATTACCATTGATTAGAATGACACCTTACGGAGGCAGGGAAATTGACAGAAAGAGCCTTTTCATTTGTCCACATTTTCCTCCCTTTGCCTCTGCTGATTCCATTTCCTAGATGAAGAAACATTTAAGCCAGGAGCATTGCTTTTTATAAACCCCTTGTTATTATAAAACAAGAGATGTCCCGGTTTTCCCTATGTAATGCTTTTAAGCTAGAATTTACCTATGGTAGGAAACACTGAGTATGGCAAGAACCAGCTTCTTCCACCTGAGCAAGTGATGACAACAGCTAATATTTATTGCATTTATACTCTGTGCCCATGCCTAGCCTATGTAATTGCCCTAAGACATGAACACTGCTATCAGTCCCATTTCACAGGTGAAGAAACTGAGGCCCAGAGCACTTCAGTAAATGGCCCAGAGCCACATAGTTAATAAGAGATGGCATCCATATTCTAATTCAGGTTTGCTTGTGCTTTTATCCCCAGTGCTGTAGTTACCATCCATCCATCCATTCATTCATTCGTTCATCTATTCGATAAGCACTGGTCGCCCACCTGTAGTATGCTAAGCACCACACTGGGTGCTAGGGGACATAGCAGCAGATCCCTGCCTTAATATTTGGTGGGGGTGAGAGGGACAGAAAAGAATAAAATAGGTAAATAAAATAGGTTAAGTGGATTGCGTGTGGGGCAAGTACGATGAAGAAAAATGAAAATGGAAGGGAGTAAGAAATATTGGTCGGGGAGATGTGTTGTGATTTTAAGTAGATGGTGAGGGAACACTTCCCCTGGAAAGAGGTCGAGGCACACGCCTCTGGAACTCCCAGGGAACAGGTTTCAGGCAAAAGGAGCAGCAAGAAACATGGTAAAGAAGAAAAAAAATCATTATGAAAATCATAATTCTCAAATGGTGAACTTCGAAACAGAAAACCTCATTGTGGAGACAGAGTGGAGGTGGGCTCATGTGTATGGAGTTGATGGGAATCCTTCTTGCAAAATCCCAAGGAGCTCAGCCAACTCTACCTCCCACCCCCATCCACTGGTTTCTCGGGCTGGAGCTGCTCTGGCGCATGGTACCTCTCACCTTTCACCTACACCCAGTCTGGGCTCAAGTGTAGGGAGGAAAGTTTCCATTACCAAGTAGAGCTGGAGACTGTCCTTCTGTTGTACTTGAAATGGAAGAATAAGCTGTTTATTCGTAGGGAGCTGTATTTTTTTTTTTTTTTTTTAAGGAAGAAAACTTCAGCCAAAACAGCGATAGTCGCAAGATTTTTTCGTGCATGTCTCAAAACAGGAAAAAATGTCTCTGAGCTTAGAGCTCCTGAAATTGCCAGCAATCACCCCACTGGAAGGTGGAATTCCATGTAAGGCTTCCCAATGGGGCTTAGAGTTCCCCTGGGCAGTTAATGCTTTCTCTTGGCATCATCCATCGAATCAGAGTCAAAAGCTCTCAGTGAGTTTATCCTTATAAATGGTTTTTCTGTATAAAAGGTCCAGGAATGATGAAAACGAATGCCTTTCACCTCAAGTGGTTTTTGGTGATACACATTCAGAAGACATATGTGTTCTGCTAGGAAGTACTGGAGCAATACATACATAGAATGTTGTTAAAGGTGATTAAAAAAAAGTAATTTGCCTTTGTGAATATCTGTATACTTGCATAATTAATTGCATATTTAGTAAGCTTATTTCCTAGTGTAATTTTCTACATGACGCTCACGGAAAAGTGTTGCCTAATTTCCTGACTCCAGTGTCCCTGCTCTTGCTTTTCTAGAAGATACGTACGAGCGAACACTGATTGTTGACGGGGAAAGTGCAACAATTATACTCCTGGACATGTGGGAAAACAAGGTATGCAGAGCTCCTAGCTCTCTGTAAGTTCCCTCAAGGCTTGCCGTCCAACAGGCTGTCTGGTGTGAGGGTGACCTTGTCCTTTTTAGCGTTCTAGGTGAGGTGGGCTCATTTTCTTGATTAAAAGCTTTCTTTTTCTGAAGTGCGAGGAACAGGTCATTTGCAGACTAGCTCTGAATAATAAGCAAGTGGCAGTGATTTGCCCTCAGTTTAATTAAAAAAAAATACAAAAACATATATCCGCTTTAGGGCAAGTGCCAACAAGTATGGATAATAAGTTAAAGCTACATATAAAACCAGATTATGTGGAGTTGACAGTCTTAATACTCGTCTTCACCATGTGCTTTTTAAAAATTTTGGGCTCCTGAGCATATATGCTAGACCTGTTTACTGAGAACTCTCCTAGTCTCAGAAGGATTCTAAGTTTCATCACTTGGGAAAGGCAAAAGGGAGGTTTTGGAAGTCAGAAAAAGCTCATTTTGGGTAGATTGGATAGAAATTGGAAATGTGGTTTGGCAGAGTCATTGTTTTATATAATTTATAATTTATCAACTCAAGCTGTAGGAGGAATTGGACAGTCAAAACTTTTTGGCAGAAATACCTGATGCAGGCTAGCCAGTCTTTATAGCCACTGGACACAGTGCAGGCACGGATGACATGCATCTGGGGAGTTGGAATACGGTTCCTTCCTTCCTCATATCAGCAAGGGTACTTAGGATACGTGTACTGTTTCTTTGCACACCGATGCTTCATTTACCAGGCCTGCCTGAGCTCAGGGAGGTTCTTCTCATTTTACCAGGGAGAGAATGAATGGCTCCAAGACCACTGCATGCAGGTCGGGGACGCCTACTTGATTGTCTACTCCATCACGGACCGAGCCAGCTTCGAGAAGGCATCTGAGCTGCGAATCCAGCTCCGCCGGGCTCGGCAAACAGAGGACATCCCTATAATTTTGGTTGGCAACAAAAGTGACCTGGTGCGGTGCCGGGAAGTGTCTGTATCAGGTAAGGGGAGCCATAGAAACTGTCGCTGGGTCACCTGGTTTTCTTTAGACAGGTGCTCTTTTCTTCCTTCATGAAGCTAGAACCAGGGACTCGTTAAAATGCTCCACTGAGCTTCGTGTCTGAGACTCCAACATTCCCAGCAGATTGTCCGTGTGCTGATTGTTGCTCCCTGGTCCATCTGGTCCCCCTCCCTGCAACTCCTGTAGGGAAAAGACCGTGCTCAGGGATTTACTGGCCCTCCCGAGCCTTTACTGCTTGTCTGTTTCTATTCTCCAGGGAGCTCTCAAGAGTTCAGGGAAATAAAAGTAGTCTCTTTAAGCAAGAAAGATGAGGACTCTGAGAGTTTCATTGAGAATAAGGATTCTCTTCCGGCTGCATCTGGTTCCTGGAGACCTTAGAAACATCTTCCTGTCCCCTGCCTTTTGCTTCTGAAATTTCAGTGAAGGCACCAGCCTTATGGTGTCACATATACTTTTTCATGCCTAGTTCAGAGATACTGCCTATTTGCTTTCAGGTCCCTTGAGATTTTTTTGGCCTAATACAGATTTGGTTCCTGGTACAATGGTCAAAAATAAAATACTGCATTGCCAGACGCTACTCAGGAGAAAAGAAACCTGATGATGACTTAATGTATACAACTAGCTTGGGCACATCTAACTTAGGAGAACACTGTCTAAGGAACACTGTCTAAAAAAAAAAGGAATCTTTTTTTTTTTTTCCTAACCAAAACTTGGATACATGGCCGTTGAACACAATGGGACATTTGACATTGAGGCCACTCCAGAAAAGCCTGTTTGTATAGTTTGTTGTCACTGTATTGTACATGTGTGACATCATCAAAAAGGTTTTCAAGGTATCTCATCAGAGCTTTAAAATTATTTTTTAAGAGAGGAAGGTCAAATAGCAGGATTGTGTTTCAAGTCAGGAAACGGAGTTAGGAGAAAGAGTTAAGAATCTGAGCTTGAGGGGGCGCCTGGGTGGCTCAGTCGGTTAAGCATCCGACTTCGGCTCAGGTCATGATCTCACGGTTTGTGGGTTCGAGCCCCGTGTCAGGCTCTGTGCTGACAGCCAACTCAGAGCCTAGAGCCTGTTTCAGATTCTGTATCTCCCTCTCTCTCTGACCCTCCCCTGCTCACGCCGTCTCTCTCTCTCAGAAAAAAAAAAATTGAAAAAAAAAAAAAAGAATCTGAGCTTGAGGAAGAAGGAGGCTTGGCTTCATCCCTGCCGCTTACAGGCTATGTGAATGCCCTCACGTTCTTAAGAGACTACCCCCCACTTCAGTTTCTTCATCCATTTGAAAGGGATCATGTATTTTTCAAGATAGTTTTGAGCATTAAAATAATGCTTATAAAAAGGTATTTAACTCAGTTCCTGGCATAAACTAGGGCTGTGGTTCTTATCGTTATAATTAATATGACTGTATTTGATGAAATTGGACCTTCGCACAGTGAATTTATGATGGGCCAGATCCGAAGTCCGTCTCTCCCGCTTCCAGGAGTCTCCCTGTGACTCTGCGTCTCTCTGTGCCCTGGATACAGTGGCCTCCTGTAGCCGTCACATGTGTGACTGACTTAGCGGTACCTCGAGACAAGCCAAGGTCGGGAATCATCAGCTGGGCTGTGTGCTGTGTCGCTCCTCTGACTTTCTTCTCCTCTCCTTTCCTTCCCAGAAGGGAGAGCGTGCGCTGTGGTGTTCGACTGCAAGTTCATTGAGACCTCTGCGGCCGTCCAGCACAACGTGAAGGAGCTGTTTGAGGGCATCGTGCGGCAGGTGCGCCTTCGGCGGGACAGCAAGGAGAAGAATGAGCGGCGGCTGGCTTACCAGAAAAGGAGGGAGAGCATCCCTAGGAAAGCCAGGCGCTTCTGGGGCAAGATCGTGGCCAAAAACAACAAGAATATGGCCTTCAAGCTCAAGTCCAAATCCTGCCACGACCTCTCTGTGCTCTAGGCACCCAGAGTCACCCAGATGTCCGCCTGACGGACATCACTGAACACCATTGGGACTGATAATCTATATTAGATTGGATCATCCTTAAGTATTATTATATATGGCTTCCCCCATTGTAGCTGGGAATTAATGTGTTAGCCTTAAGGGCAACGTAATGCATGGGAAATGAAAGGTCTTTGTAAAATCAGTATTTATTTACAGGAAAAGCCTGACCTGGCCACTTGAGCACCTAGGACTCCTTAGAGGACGTGGTTGGTGTTCACTTGTGTTCCTCTCTCCTTTGGATAGTAGAGAATTGAAGCCTACAAATGAATGCTCAGAATGAGAACTTTTCATTGTTAAAATTTCAGCCAGTGTTCTGATACGTGAATTTGAGGCCATTAGGTCATAAAGAAATATAGGAAAGCCTTCAAAGTTTTTATTCAAAGGAGGGAGAACCTCTCTCTGTACCTTATCTTCATGGAGCTAGGATTATAGAACCAGGCTCATCATAATCATGACCATGATTGCTCCATCAAGCTGTGAAAAGAAATGGTGGACCTTGCTGGAAACTAAAGCTTAGTGAACAGTTTTTGTTCAGTGCCCACAGTTAGGGATCCAGAAATTTATAAAAGTGGGAACTGATCCAGATACTACTTACGAGATCAAAAATCATATCTTTGCTTCTGTGTCTTGTAATTTTTTGTTTAGAGGAAAATTATTTTAATCAAATTCTGCTTAGTCAAACCACCTTTTATCGTTCATTGTTTTTAAAGTCATGGGGCCATCATGAAAGTATTTTAAAAATCTGAATTATTGATACAACCTGGAGTGCAAATGCCAAATTTTGAAATATGATCAAAGGTCTGAATTTTTATGAAACACAAAACATAAATACTTCTAGTACTTTGGGTTGACCCTTGTATGCCACAGTTCTGCTGTATTTATTGTTATTTTGCAAAATAATAACCATTTTAACATTTGATAAAGCATATTTATGAACATATTTCTTAATAGGAAAAATGTCCATTTTATTACCATTTTCTATCTTTTTCAGAATATGCAAGTTTTTACCTATATGTCTTATAATAAAATAAATAAAATCTTTGGGACAAAAAGGTATTCTTAAATGTTTTTCCTCCCCAAATAAGACAATTATGATTCTTTCCATATAACGTATAGAGCAAGCACACTCTAAAGAAACATACCTGTTATTCTGTTTCTTCTTTTCTTTGGTGATAGCCCAGCTGTTATTTGTTTCAGAATATCCTTGACATCTCTCCTTTGGAATCATGAGTCATAAGAATGCAAAGTTAGTTTTGGCTAATACAGTTGAGAAGTATTTGGGGTCCTCTAGATGCTAAATTCTAGGAAAAGCCAGATTGATTTTTTACTTTAGCAAATTCCTGACTAAACAGATGTGCTCTTGCTCCCTGAAGGCTCGTGGTACTAAGACTAAAGCATTAGAGGAAATTATAAAGGATTACAGGGCGAAAAAAAAGAAAAGAAACTGGTGATTTTCAGCCTGAGATCCAGCCAGGCAGGGCTTTAACCAAATTCTCCTCTTGGACATTAATATGGTTTGACCTTCCTCACGTGGCTTCTGTCCAGGGGCGGTGTGTGACCCCTGGCTGGGATGGAACCACTTGGTGTCCTGCTTTCACACCTCTGGCCCCTGTGAGTACCCTCCTCTGCTCCCCCTCCCTGTGTTTTCTGAGTTTGTAATCAGACACACACTAAGAGCAACAATAATGGTACCTCAAATATTGCCTAAAGCGACAGCCTTACAACTCAGTTCTGTTGGTGCGCTCTCCTGTTTCCAAATCCAGCACAAAGGGTCCTGTCTCTGTGTGCTTTGCCTCTGAATTGTTCGAGGAAACAGTACAGGGAGGTGATAAGAGAGAAGATTCTGGTTTCACAGGGCTTTTAACATTGGTGCCTTTTAATATCCGCGTGTCTTTGGAGTGAAGGCGAAACTTTTACAACCATCAGTTTTCCCATGTGTAAGATGGGGTTGCTAATAATACCTACCTTGTAAGGTTGTGAGATGAACGTCTTTTAATCTGCCCCACATGAAGAGCTCAAGAGATGTCAGTCTTTATTGTCATACCCACCCCCTGCATTCTGCATAAATCAGTTTTATACATCTGCCTTCCCCCAAATGGAATGGAAACACTGTAAAATCAGGGACGACTACTTTTCCTTTTTATGCCTCCTATACTCTTCAGTACAGTGCCTTGTGTATATTGGACTTTTTAAAAAATGTTTATTTTTGAGAGAGAGAGAGAGACAGAGTGCAAGTGGGCAAGGGTCAGAGAGAGGGAGATGCAGAATCCAAAGCAGGTTCCAGGCTCTGAGCCTGACAGGGGTCTCAAACTCACGAACCATGAGATCATGACCTGAGCCGAAGTCCGACGCTTAACTGACTGAGCCACCCAGAAGCCCCTATATTTGTGCCTTTTATAATGTTGTTTCTTCTTCTCCTTCTCCTACTTCTTCCTCTTCCTCTTCTTTTTATGTAGGCCTGGTGCAGAGCCCAGTGTGGGACTTGAACTCACAACCATGAGATCAAGACCTGAGCTGAGATCAAGAGTTGGACGTTTAACTGACTAAGCCACCCAGACTCCCCTATAATGTTTCCTCTTGAACAGATCTTCCCAGTGGCCCCATGAAGTTGAAAGGCCATTTTGCAGCAAACAAGTTCAAAGGGATAAGTGACTTGTTCCAGTTTGTTCAGATGTTAAATATCTGGACTAGAAGTAGAGTCCAGATGTGACCCGGAGTCATTCGCATCTTTTTGTATCCCCAACTGTTTGCTATAGACACAGCTCTTTTCATTCCCGGGAACCACCATACTCATGACACCCCCACCTCACGTATACACCCCCCTCCACCATATACATCCCACACGTACTGTACACACTCCACACAACACCTCACACCCGCCCACCACACACATACCACACCGTAAGCACATCCCACGCACCCCGTGCCCCAGCCCACACACCCCATACCACCTAGTATACCACATACACACCACACACTCCACACCACACACCCCTCCACACAGAACACACCTAAACATATGCATAAAGCAAACACAGCACATAAATCCCACACTGCACACACCGCATCCCCACATATAACACCACACATGCACTCACACACCCTATACACACACATTCTTTATTTACACGATCGTCTGTTGTCTTATAGATTTAACCATTCTGCTCACTTATTTCAGAACTTCCCAGCCAAATGGCCAACAGCTGCCAAGACTCTCAAGCTTAAGAGGGTGTTTTTGGATCCTCACACTGGGGCTCCCTTCGAGCCAGGGCAAGACAACACAGGCGCATTCCAGTCTGAGAGGCTTTTTGGTTAAGGGCGACAGCTCTGGAGTCGACAGACCTGGGTTTCACTCTGGGTGTGTGACCAGGAGGAACTTCCTTCTCTCAGCCTCAGTTTTCCCATCTGTGACATGAGAATAACCAAGACACCTACTTTTAGGGTTGCCGTGAGGATGGTGTGAGGCTGCACACGTGATCATCGCAGGAGGACCCCGAGGACTTCTCTAATGCAGCACGTAGGGCTTCATTCCCACACGCATCCTTCAGACGTTGTTGGGCACCCAGGCACTGCTGGGTGCTGGGGGTGTAATGACTAAGACATTAGCCTGGCCTTCAGGGCCCCTGAGAATAGTATATTTGCCTGTCCCGAGAAGCCAGAAAAGGTGGCATTGGAGATAGGAAGAAACTGAAAAAACCATGGGGAAGGGGCTGGATTTACTGCCATTAGACAAAATTCAAATGGACAAAAGTTACTTAAATGATTGGATTCGATGTGGAAAAGTAAATTGGGCTATTTTTAAAGATTCCATTTTGGGGAAGTGGGAACATTGGGGAAATTTGGTTTTTAAGCATTGCTCACTAACACGTCGACTATTCAATACAGGGAGAGACAGATGGTTCTGCGTTCACTTGATGAATGTGAGCAAAGTGTAAGGGGCTCCTGTTGTGCAAGGGGCTGTGGAGAAGACAGAGTGTGAGAAGGTAGTTGTGCCTTCTGTGATATGTTGGTGGGAAGTGGGCGCCGTGGTGAATGAGGACAATGGCACAAAAACCTAGAATGCTGTAGAAGAGCAGATGGGCAGTGGAGACATGTGAAGTAAGGCAGTTGGAGCTTGGGTGGGAGAGAGAATTCCTTGCCTGGTTGGTGCAATCATGAATGTCTTCTTGGAGGAAGTGACATTGATCTTGATCATGAAGGCTATTCAAGATTTTCACAGGTAAGATTTGCTGAAGAAAAGAAAAAAGGAGAGGTTGGTTTATGTAAAGAAAACAGCATATAGCGTGAACAAGGGCAAAGAGACAGGAGAGAGAAAAATCCGTTTAGGAAAAAAGAGAGAAATTCAAGGTGGCCGGGAGCATCTAGAAGATGTTTAAGTGAAGTGTCTAAGGCTTGGAGTCAGACAGAAGTAGTTTCAAATTCTCACTTGCTTGGTGTAGTGGGTTGAACTGTCTTCTCTCCAAATTTGTATCCACCTCAAATTGTGACCTTATTTGGAAATAGGGTCCTTGTAGATGTAATTAGCTAAGGATCTCAAGATGAAATCATTAGGGCAGATCCTAAATCTGATGAATGGTGCCTTCAAAAGACAAAGGAAGGAGAGAGAGAGAATCTGGACACAGAAGAGACACGGGAGGAAGGCCATGTGACCATGTGAAGATGGGGACAGAGACTGGAGTGATACAGCTATAAGCCAATGAATGCCAAGGAGCATCCGGAACCACCAGTAGCTGCAAAGGGAAAGAAAGAATCTCCCCTAATGTCTTCCTGGGGATTGTGGCCCTGCTGACATCAGGATTTTAGATTTTTAGTCTCCCGAACTGCAAAGACTACATTTCTGTTATTTTAAGCCACCACGTTTATGGTAGGCTCACAGCCCTAGGAAGTGAAATACTTTGGGTTACTTAGGGCAACTTACTTAGCATCTGTAAGTCTCAATTTCTTCACTGGAAAAGCAAGGATGAAGGATTATTGTGAGCATTAAATGAAAAGTGCTTAATTTATTGTCTGTCCAGAAGGTGGAAAGTGAGCAGTCTGCAAGAGAAAATGGATAGCGGTTATAGAATGTGTCGATCTCCAGCCTGAGAAGTTTCCACCTGGTTCAGAAGGCAAAGCAGGCACTTGAATGTTTCCAAATAAGGATGTGACAGACCAAGTGGCGTTGCTTCAGGACATGGCTCAGGAGGGCTGACTGGTGGGAGCCACTGTGAGGAGATCAGTGAGGAAGCCACCAGAACACCTGGCCTGGTGTGCCCAGTTCATGGGCTGCAGGTGGAGGGAGGGAGTTGTTCCTTGGGAAGAGCAGCCCCTCAGAGAGTCTAAGGGTGGGCTTACAGAGAGTGTATCTGTATCTGGCCAGCTTCAGGTTTTGTGCAAGGAGCGCTCTCAAAGCAGTGAGGCCTGATGCCTCACAACAGCAGACAGCAGGGCTAATGCAAAGAGAAGCAGTGCAAAGGCAGTGAGCAGGGCAGCCCCAAGGGTTGGTCAAGGCCCCAGTTACAAGATCGCGCTGCAGTGAGGTCGGGGATTCTGACTTTGATTTCCTGGAAAAACAGTCACAAAATGAGAGACCCTAAACTGTGGTCCTTGTTCAGCCTAACTTCTGGGGAGATGAGGAAGTGGATATAGCACAGCTGCTTTTCCTGTGATATGGCTAGGAAAACCTGCATGCGAACAGGGACGTGAGGCTTTTAGCAAAACATTGCTGTTGGATGCACCAGTGACTCTGCATGGGTGTGCACATGTGAGCTTGCACGTGTGCATACGAATGTGTCTGTATGTGTGTGTGTTGGGAAGGGGTACAGGTGGGAAAGAGATGCCTCACAGTTAAAGGGAAAGTAGAGTAACTTCAAACATCAACCGGACTCTCATCTTGCCCACTCTTCAGTAAATGCCCCAAATGGGGCTGCAGTCAGTGGTCTTGTTAATTCAGCGCCTTCCAAGGAAATGGGGTATTCAAGAGGTGCATGTCTTTTCTAAAACTCCAGACAAGTTGTAATTAAAAACTTTTTTTTTGATGTTTATTTTTTAGAG